ATTACTTTAAAATGTAGAATTATGAATTTTCAGAGATAACTAGTTTAAGTGAATATGACTTCCTCAAAGCTGATGACTGAAGTATCACAACATTTTTATTTAGGTGAGGTCTCTAATGGTGAAGGGCAAGAATTGGAGTGGGGCAGAAGAAGTTAGTTCATCATCTTATCTAGTTGATCTGCAAGCAAATGAATGCTGGAGACCAAAAGTTAATACAATTTAGTGGCTGAACCTGTTATGCACCAAAGCAGGGTTTCCTGACATGGAAAGTTTGCAGCAAAAAGATAGCTTGCGTGAAGATCAACTTTTGCTTTTTTAAATAGGCAACAGAGCCTCTGACTGCTTAAAGCTCAGTAGGCATGGTGCTAGTTGATGCTGGGTAATTTGATGGCAAGTCACTTATTCTCTATTTCAGCCAGTGACACAGAGCTTCTTTAAATGTAACTGCTTAGGAATTGGCTGCTGGAAAAGGAGATAAGGAAATATTTTTTGGTTTCTATGCAATTAAATAGCAAAGTTGAAATGCTTGAATAAGTTAGGAATTTGAATAAGATACATTGCTTTGGTAGCTAGGTGAGGTGGTGAACACCTGTAATCCCAACAACCGGGGAGGCTAAGGTAGTCGGATCATAAGCTCAAGACCAGTCCCAACAATTTAGTGAGGCCTTCAGCAATTTAGCAAGACCCTGTCTCAAAATTAAAAAATTTAAAAAAGGCCTGGGAATGTGGCTCAGTGGCAAAGTGCCCTGGTACCAAAAGATTTGTTGCTTCTTTTAGTTCTTTGTCATCAGCAAACTCAATCCATAAAGAAACAAGGAAATAAAGATATAAAATTACATGGGAGATCAAGATGTGAAACAATATATATAATAACCAAGTATCAACTCTTATCATGAAGAGATATTTCATGAGAGCAAACAATAAAACCATAATAATTATTTACGAAGAAATTAGGATCCTTTTGTGGAGATAAACCCACAATTTTAAAAAAATATTTATTTTGTAGTTGGACACAATACCTTTATTTTATTTATTTTTATGTGGTGCTGAGGATCAAACCCAGGGCCTTGCATCTGCTAGGCGAGCACTCTACCTCTGAGCCACAACCCCAGCCAGAGCCCACAATTTAAAAAAAAATATTTTTAGTTGCAGATGGACATAATATCTTTATTTAATTTATTTTTTATAATGTTGTCCTGAGGATCGAATTCAGGGCTTTAGGCAAGGCAAGCACTCTACCACTGATTTAAAATCCCATCCCCATAAGCCCACAATTTAAAGATACAAAGGGGCTTTCTAGGAAAGTCACTATGGAAAAGTAACTCCAAACACATGTAGTAAATGAGGCAAGCAACACACTTTAGATAGAGGGGAGGTGTGAATGCTATGATTTAATTATTTCCATTATTTTTAAAACTTCAGTTTCTTTTGGGAGTACTCAGAGATTTCCAGGGTGTTAGCAGTCTATTCAGGCAGTCATCTTTGCAGAACTACTAGGGGTGACATCATTAGTTTAGAACCATAACCAAAACTTTATGTGCTGTTCTTTTTTTTTTTTTTTTTAAATGGGACTGGGGATTGAACTCAGGAGAATTCTACCACTGAGATACTCCTACAGTCCTTTATTTTATTTTGAGACAGCATTTTGCTCAATTGACTGGGCTGGCCTTGAATTTACAAACATCCTGTCTCAGCTTTCCAAGTAGCTGGAGTTAAGGCATATACCATCAGGCCCAGTATATTCTCTGGTTTTTAAAAACAATTCTTTTTTATTTTTTGGAGTATTAGGAACTGAACTCAGGGATGGCTCTACCACTGAAACACATTCCCAGCCCTTTCTTAGTTTTTATTTTGGGACAGGGTTTTGATAAATTGCCAAGGCTGATCTTGAACTTGTGATCTTCCTGCCTCAGCTTCCCAACTCTCTAGGATTGTACCTGGTTTAAGAACAATTCAAAATAAGAAGTTATAGAGTAAGATTGTTCTACCAAAGCAAGTGGTATGGCTAATGTCCAAATACATTGGACATAAGCAATTAATTGACTAGCAGGGGAACCTATACTAATACCTTACTCTTAACCTGATTTTTTTTTGTCTCCATTACATAAGATGGACAAGAATCTCCCTAACAATTAGTCTGCTTAAAAAAAAGAAAAAAGGTCAATAAAAAAACTAATCATTTTGATATGTTTAACACCATTTTTGCAGCCTAAGACACAAAAGTTTGGTCAAACTAACCAAACTTTAAAAGTAGGAGGAGTATACAGTTTATTTATTTATTTTACAGTGCTAGGGACTAAACTCAGAGCCTCATGCATGCTAGGCAAGTGATGTACCCAAGTTGCACTCCAACCCACGTGAATTTTCTAACTCTAACCAACTTTAGTGGTTGATAATTCTAAACAACAAAATAACCCAGAAAATAGGGAGCTCCACGAAAGAAAATGTTGATTTTAGGTTAAGGCAGCAGAAGCAATGAGATAGAAATACACAAATGAAGGAGAGAAGGAAGGGGAAGGGAAGAGAAAGGAAAGAAGATGACAGATAAACAGAGAAGGCAAAAGAAAGAATAGAGCCTTGGTTCTAAATAGAAGCTGTGGGATAAAGCAATTAACCCAATGCTTCTAAAGCTCAGTTTCCTCATTGCATACAACACTGTTAGCCTAGAATTAAATTACCTGTATGGCTCTCCAGTTCAGAACTCTTAAGAATTTACATGAGTGTGAGGGAGGGGAGGGGAGTAGAGAAGGAAGTATCCAGTGGCTGCAGTATAGGTAAGAAAGTAAATTTAAGTTCTTCCTGGCCTGGAGGGCTGAAATGATGAAAATGAGGCAGGACCACAGGCAGATCCTAGATAGTATCAGACTCTTACTAAAACATTGATTACTGGAGGGGCCCCATTCTTGGAGTTTCTGGTGCAGGAGGTCTAGGATGAGACTCTAGCATTTGTAGTTCTAATAAGCTCCCTAAAGATCCTGATGCTGCTGGTCTGAGACCAAACCTGAAGAAATAATGTCCTAGAGAATAAGTGACCAGGGCAAATGACCATGGTTATATGGAAAAAAAGTTGGGCAGGCTCCTCTTTGTGGGGGAAAAAGAATTTCCTGTGAAAGTATTGATAAATAAATGTTAAGAATATAAGGGCTGGGATTGTGTCTCAGTGGTACAGCACTTGTCTACCATGTGTGAGGCACTGAGTTGGATCCTCAGCACCACATAAAATAAATTTATAAAAAAAAGTCGAATATAATTATTTGACAAAATGGTGTGTATATATATATATATATATGCATAATATCCTAGATGGTCTCATTCTAAATCTCATGCCAAATTCTTCGTATTCTTCAAAAGTATTGTAGAAATTGAAATATTAATGCAATACTGGGATTATAAACTAGATAGTCTTTTTATGGACCATGACCATAACAGAATAGCTATATCATTTGAGATGATACAATATTTTACTTTATTTTATTTTTTGGCAATACTGGCGATTGTACCCAGGGCCTCACGCATGCTAGGCAAGCACTCTACAATTGAGCTACATCCCCAACCCTTTTTATTTGGAGACAGGGTCTCAAGAAATTGCTCTGGCTGGCCTGGAATTTATGATCCTCCTGTCTCAGCTTCTCAAGTAGCTGAGATTATAGGCATGTGCCTCCATGCTCAGTGTTATTATTTTACTTTTAGAAAAACAAAACAAAACGAACTAACACTTAAAAGAACTATATAAACTATCTAAAAGGACTTTTCCTTTCAGAATGAGGTGTATTACAAGTGACCATTTCAGAAAATGGAACTTTAAAAAGCAAATCCTTCTTTTGAGATTTTTTTTTTTTTTGGTGAACCCAGCCCCTTATTCATGCTAGACAAGTGCTCTACCACTGAGCCCCTCAAATCCTTCTTTTATTGTAACCATTTTAGAATGTAATTTTTCTAAATTGAAAATATGACCTAAAAGAAAGAAAAAAGGAACAAAATCTATTTTCCTTCATTGCCCACTGTCATTACAACACCTACAACAGCATCAGTTCTGTGATGAGTGGTACCTCTGGGGTCACCCAGAATTGTTTACAACCTTTCACTCTGACAATGAACGAGCCCAGAGTTCTGCAGATTTGCCATTTCTACTGTCTTGTTCTTGTTTATCTCAATCCCTCTGGCGGTATTAGGTTTTGTTGTTATTTCTGTGGTACTGAGGATTGAACCCAGGCCTAAGAAAATACCAGACTAGTGTACTACCACTGAGTTATATCCCCAGAACTTAAATTTTACTTTTGAAACAGGATTTCACTACATTGCTCAAGCTGGTCTTGAATTTATAGTCCTCCTGAGTAGCTGGGATAAAAGTCATATGCCACCACACTCAGCTATTATTTCTCAGTGTATTGACCTCTAAGTTGCATGCTAACTTGGCATACTTTATCTACTTGGACCTAAAAATGACTCTAAATGAGGACTATATTTATGATTTAGAGGATTTTTTTTTAAGATGACTTTTTTGGTCTGGTTGTTTGTTTAAACCCAGATAGTTTCAAGATTGTTGGGTTATTGCTTGTGGCAAGAAGTAGGGTGCTATCAGATTTTGTGTATATATATATATATATATATTTTTTTTTTATGTAGTATGCAATATTAGAGACACAGAAGTCCTTAGGGGAATGTATGGTATACTAACTAGTAAAAGAATTGTAGTTATGTTCACTTAAAGGGTAATGCAACTTATAGATTACCCTTCTTACCCAAACTCTGAAAATCCTATCAACCCTGGAAACCTATGTGAACACTATGAACATTTCATTATCTTACATACAATTTGTTGGAAAGTAGAAAACTTTATAGGGTTAACAACATTTAATCAGGTACAAGGTAAAGAAGAAATATAAGGTGAATCTCATGAGGAAAAGGTAAAACCTGTAATAATCTGATCACAAGGGAATTCCTAATGTTGGTAACTTAATATTATTGCTTAAAGTCATATAAAGATCACATTTACTGACCTGGGGAATGCTGGGAAGTTGCAAGTGAGGTCATGGAATTAGAGAGGTTAAGGTTGGCAGTGATACTAAGCTGGCTCTGCAGTGCAGGAGGGTAAGGAGATGTGGGTGTCAGGAGGGACTCCTCACTGGTTTCTTCATCAATTCCAGGCAAGTACGTGTCAATCAAGGCATCAAGAAACTTAACAATAAGCTCAGCATAGTCTGGGATTTGTGTTTGCTGTAATGGAAAATAGGAAATTATTTCAGCTCCATTAAAAAAAAAAATTCCCTCTGAAGCCAAAAAAAAAGGTTAATTTTTATTTGGGGCTTAATTTATTATTTTTCTTCCTTTGTCTGTTATAGATCATTAAAAAAGGGGGAATGGAGTAATATTTATAGACTGGCTTACAGTTGGGAATTTTATTCAGCTTACGCTTAAAGCTTCCAGATGAACCTACAATTTCTGAAAGCCATGCACAGACTGAATTTAATACTAAGACAATATAATCATCAGGAATGATGTCTAGCCAATTTTCCAAAACAGAGAAAATGAGCAGAGAATCATCCCAGCTGCTATTTATATTCCACTAACTAGACACTGCAAAGAGCTCAGAGGGTTATGGCAATCCAACTACAAAAGCTTATTTTTGGGACTTCAGGCCTGCTTTTTTTTAGTGAAAACCTGTTCATATCAAGAGATATTCAGTCATAGTTAAGACAATATAAACTAAATACCCAATTTTTAAAACCAGAACAAGGTCTAGATAATTCATATTAACACCCCTCTACCTAGAACCCTGCACCAGGAATGTTGGGGAAAAGAAATAGAAGTCCTGCCTTCAAGGAACTTCCATCAATTTGGAGAGAGGACATATACAGAGAAAATAATTAAATACAGATTTACGTAGCAAATACAGATTTATTAGCACTATAACAACTAATGCCAATCAAAGAACAAAATGAACAAAGAGGAATGAATCTAATCCAACAGCTGGATGTCAAAATATCTTCATAAGATAATGCTCCTTGCTAGTCACAAGATAGGAAAATAAATCTTACAATGAACAACTTTCCTTAAAACACTGTGTTTAATTATGTTATGCACATGCAGGAATATGGCATAATGAATCCAACTATTATGTATAATGCACCAATAAAAATAAATGAATAAAAAAAAATAAAAATACCATGTTTGAACTGCTACTTTGGTTTTCAGTGTTGTGTGTGTGTGTGTGTGTGTGTTTTCTTCTGTTTATTGAGGATTTAACCCAGAGGTGTGCTTTATCACTGAGCCACATCACCAGTCCTTTTTATTTTTTATTTTGAGACAGGGTCTCCCTAAGTTCTTAGGGCCTCAATAAATTGCTGAGGCTGGCTTTGAACTCATGATCCTCCTGCCTCAGCCTCTCGAGTTGTTGGGATTACAGGTGTGTGCCATTATACTCAGCATATTATGTGGTTTTAAAGCAGAAACATTCATGTGGATAAAACTGTTGTTTAGTCAAAAATAAGAGAAAAATATATTTTCTTACCTTTGAAAAAGGTCCTGCAAACCGCCATAAACCATTAAAACCAAAACCTGCAACAAATCAAATATTTTTCTTATAACAAGATATCTTTTAACCATAACAGAAATAATTAAGTTGTATAGCTCATGGGTAAAACCTGTGCATGCACACATTGAAAATATTTTAGAATCAATGTCAAAGCAGACTAAAACTTAATTAAAATAAACTTAGTATAAAACCATATTTTAATAAAATTAAATATTAAACACAAGCAATATTGAACACATAATTGAGTAAACAAATGGTTTATATAGGAGAAAGTATGAAGCAGCCTGTCCATTATGAAGAATTCTCTAGTCAGTGCATTCTACAACAGTGCACACGTTAGCAAATTCATCAATCATCCTTCTGATATATTTATTTACTTTGCAGGTAAGATGTTTGGTATTGTGGTGGGGATTCTTCATGGTACACCACACTCTGCACAATTCCATGGATTGGATTTAACAAATTTGGATCTTGGCACAATGACAATAAGGTGTTGATCTTAGAGTCCAACAAATTATGCCTAAAAAAACAGAAGTCAATAAAGGAACATTTTAGGTGATTTTTAAACTAAAATATTTGAATAATATATATTCCTCAGAACAAAGTGACAAAATTGAAGGAAGATGAATACTTTTATTTTGGGAGGGGGGTACCAGGGATTGAACTCAGGGGCACTCAACCACTGAGCGACATCCCCAGCCCTATATCTTGTATTTTATTTAGAGACAGGGTCTCACTGAGTTGCTTAGCCTTGCTAAGTTGCTGAGGCTGGCTTTGAATTCTCGATCCTCCTGCCTCAGCCTCCTGAGCCACTGGGATTACAGGTGTGCACCACAGTGCCAGGCTGAGATGAATTCTTGTAACTTTCTGGTACTCTTCTATATTTCCCAAATTTTCTATAATGAATTTATGTGTTTGCTTGTTGGGTTTGTCTTTCATTTTAAATCATCAGGGAAAATACAGTAAAATCAAACAACTAGAGGTGTCACATAATCATTTCTAATCATACTTGTGGTGAATGTTTTTTCAACACAAGGTTGGAGTCTGCCTGCCATTTAGCATGTTTTAGAACCATCTCTTTTTGCTGACTGCTGATATGTACCCAGGGAGTTAAAAAACTAAATTTAATACTAATTAGTGCTTTAAAATCCTGAATCTAGCTGGGCGTGGTGGCACACACCTGTAATCCCAGTGGCTCTGGAGGTTGAGGCAGGATCTTGATTTCAAAGCCTGCCTCAGCAAAAAGCAAGGTGCTGAGCAACTCAGTGAGACCCTGTCTTTAAAGTGGGGGTGTAGGGGGGAAGGATTCAAATTTAATATTATTTAAAAAAAATTTTTTAGATGTTGATGGAACTTTATTTTATCTATTTATTTTAGTTGTATATGGACTGAATGCCTTTACTTGTTTTTATGTGATGCTAGGATTGTACCCAGTACCTCACACATGGTAGACAAGCACTCTGGCACTGAGCCACAACCCTAGCTCAATTGAATATTATTAAAGAAAGCAAAATTAGTTCAGGGAAAGTGAAATATATGATCCAATGGAATCTTAGTAAGAAACTATTTCTAATCCTAGCTGCACTCCAATAATAAAAAGAAATAAGACCTAACTATATAAAATTTAGAAATTTAAAAACAAGATTAACCAAAACTAAGGAAACAATTATACTACATAGAAAGCATAGATCAAGAATAGAATATCCTAAATTTCTTTGGGTTCTTTTTGTTTTTTTTTTTGTTTTCAGTGTGGGGGAGGGACTGGGGATTGAACCCAGGGGAGCTTTACCACTGAGCTGCATCTCCAGTCCTTTTAATTTATTTTGAGACAGATCTCATTATGTTGCCCATGGACTGGCTAAATTGCTGAGGCTGGCCTCGAAATTGTAGTCCTCTTGTCTCAGCCTCCTCAGTCACTGAGATTACAGGGTTCCCCCATGCCCAACTAAAGTTAGCTTTATCATGCCCATTTAATGCTATATTTATAAAGCATTTGACATAAAGACAGGTATAAAAGTTAGCTAAAAATAAAAGGAGTGCTGTCTAGGCATGGTGGTACATGCCTGTAATTCAAATGACTTGGGAGGCTGAGGCAAGAGGATTTCAAGTTTGAGACCAGTCTTGGAAACTTAGAGACCCTACCTAAAAAAATAAAAAAAAAATAAAATAAATGCCAGGGATATAGCTCAGTAGTAAAGTACTTCTGGGTTCAGTCCCCAGTACCATAAAAACAAAAATAAAAAAACAAAAGGAAATACTTACACAACAGGAAAAACTTTGGGGAATACAACACTGGCCTCTGCTAAGTATTCATAAAGAATTCGTTGATCAAATTCATCTGTGGTGTATTTTACCAATGTAGCCTGCCAAGATGCAGAAAAGTAAATAAACATTTAAAAAAATTTTGTGGCTGAACTGTTATCTGTTTTGGTGAGAAGTAGATGATCTTTCTTTCATGCTTTTAATATTAAGGGGCTCCTAACAGTAGACTGGAATAAAAATTTGAGGGGGAAAAAAATTCTCAAAAAGTAAAAATCCTTACTAGAACAGTAAGAAGAAGCGCTTGGATCTTCGGATCAGTAAGTACTTCTTCATCCAAAAGAACATTTGATTCAGACACTGAAACTTTACGCAAATGTGAGTGCTGTTGTGATGAGGAAATCCTCTGAGTTTCTGCAGTAAGATATGGATTAACACAATCAGTTGTATTAAGAGAGCACGTAGACAACCATTTTGCCTAACATATTTTCATGTCACTTCTAAAGTTCAAAAGGTTTTCAGTAGATACTTCAAATATTAACATAAACATCATACAGAATTACTATTCATCTACACAAAAATTTGGCTAGCTATTTACAATGCTGTGTATAATATATTTGATTACTTTTTACACAGGTTTCAGGATAACTGTCATTTTAAGGACTGTGGAGCTTATCTTACCAAAAAGGATTTCTATATTGCATCCTGAAGATGTAAAGACATGGATGGAAAGTAAATACAGCTTTTCTATACTCTCCCACCTTATTGTCAATGATCTAGATCAAATATTAACTTTGTTTCTCACCCATTTCATAATCAGTTTCTGCTACTCTCCTCATTTTAGGGGGTGTTGTGATCCCCGATTCCATTTCTTGCCTTTTAGGAGCCTTTGTGTCTGATATCAAGTGATCAAAACTTTTCCTTGTTCCTATAAACAAAAGTTACAGAATATGGAATTTAATTAACCACGATGTCTATGAATAAAAATATGCTAAAAAGAAAAACGCTTGGATATAAAGTGTTTAAGATGTTCCTGCCTTAGCACAGAGCTATATCATTTTTTTGCTTGGACTACTGTATTAATCTCTTAAATAGTTCTCTAGTCAAAATCTTTGCCTATTTTTCCACATTGCTTCCAGAAAGTTTCTAAAAAGTAAATAAAATTTGGTCATGTTCTTACTTACTTAAAGATCTCTGCTTGATACATGGTAAGGCTAAATCTCTAAATCTCTGAAGAGGGCACATAAAATCTTTCACAATAAAGTTCTGATTCTTCTCTACCCTCAATTCCTACACCATTCCCCATGATGGCATAATGCACTGTCTGTTCTTTCCTAACTTCTTTAGTCAGGCAATTCCTCCTTTCTCTTGAATAAATGCCCTTCTCTGTCCTGTGAATACCTGGCAAACATATATTAAATCTTCAAGACTTGGTTCAAATGTTATTGCAGCTTTCCCATAATTTCCTCAAGACCTTAGTTTCCCTATTACATCACTGTAATGGCTCCTGGCAGATGCTATTGATGCTGGTGAGCTGACTATATCTTGGTCATGAAACTATAAGCTCCTCCAGGGCAGAGACCATAAATTTTGCACCCTGAACATGCACTGAATGAATTCAATACCACATTTTCTCTGGTTAGTTTTTCACTTGTGGCTTACTTGGCATCTCTCATCAGTCTAATTTTCACTTGGGCATTTAAGATGCAAACCATTGCATATTTGCCTCATTAGTAGTTGTGGGTGTTAATTCTGGCATTCAAATCAAGGGAAAGGGGGACAACTTCCTTGACACAAAAATCCAGAATTACAAAACACAAAGTAACCAGGAAACTCCTAGAAGATTATTTACCACAAAGTATTAACAGAAAAGAACTCAAACAAAAAGTAACAGACATCTCTGTGACTAGTAACAGTGATTATCATTCACAGTTTCCATTTCTTTCATGGTTTACTGGAAGGTTATTTATTTTGTACTTTGTTGTTTGTTTACTAATTTTCTTATGAACACAAACATTTTTCCAATACTACTTCAAGATATTTAAATATGTTTGCATGGATAACTGAAATTCCACTGAACCATTCACAATGCTGGTCATAGAAATAGATACCAACATATTCTAGTAATAATGAAAAGTTCAAAGGGAATACAGAACTGCTTTGCATTTCCTCTGTGATGTGAGGTGGATCAGTGGGCTCTTCCAGGAATTTACTTTCAGTTTCTGAAACAGAAAAGGATCTTATAGCATTTTAGGTGTATTTTTCATAGACGAATGTTGGTAGAACTGAGCAATCTTAACTCTCAAAAATTAAACCTTCTTATAATATTGAAAAGTACATTATTTTACTTTTTGTCATTTCAAAGATAACACGGGAAATACTATTATCATAGCTTCATACCATTTTGGTGTATTCTGCTTTCAAATGATAATTTTGCGAAATATCCCAAAAGCCCAGAGTATACCAAGACTCTTTTCTTCTTGTAGGTGTCTAATGGTTTTCCTATTCCTATTGCCTGCTACCCACCCAAGGGAAAAACAAGAAGAGTTGTAGTATTTAGGAAATATCAGGAAATAAACAAACCCTTATTATTTCAAGGTCTCATTTGAATTTCTCTATCTCAATTGACAATGGCTTAATTTATCAAACCCTCTTATAACTGGCATAAAAAAACTTTGCCACAGTGAGCCGGATGTGGTGGCGCACACCTGTAATCTCAGCAGCTGGGGAGGCTGAGACACAGGATTGCCAGTTCAAAGCCAGCCTCAGCAACTTAGCGAAGCGCTAAGCAACTCAGTGAGACCCTGTCTCTAAATAAAATACAAAATAGGGCTGGGGATGTGGCTCAGTGGTTGAGTATCCCTGAGTTCAATTCCCAGTACCAAAACAAAACAAAGACTTTGCCACAGTGAAACAGAAAAATTTTGATAATATAAAACAGTTTCAAATAATCTTTTCAAGTGTGAAAGCCTCTGATTGTTTTCCAGAATAATACTACATTTAAGAATTGTACAAAATTAAGATAAACTAACCAAGCAACTTTTTAGTGTTGGCCTGTGAAGGCTGCCCCATGTCCAAACTCATGGATTTCCTGGCTCGGGGACTGGTTTGGCCTACGGTTGGATAGCTGGCTGCAAGGTACCCTTCAGAACCTTTGGGAGAGGACCATGGTTGGTTCTCCTTTAGTGTCCTAAGAGATTTAATCAGAAAGAATTAATTGACATGGTGACAAATACAACCAATGTTTGCCCATTCCAAGTAGCTATTCTATTACTAATGACAGCAATCAATATTAAAACTGCACTTTAAAGGGCTTTACAGTACAAACTCTGAATGGATTCCCAGGAAATATTAACTTCCTTGCCATGGTATCTTGTACATGGTAGGGACTCACCAAAGGCTAAACAGAAAGAATTATACTACATTGATTCTATTCACTGCTTTTCTTGTTAAACATTTTCATATATATATTTTTTTTGGTGCTAGGGCTAAAGCCCAGAACCTCAAGCATGCTACACAAACACTCTACAACTGAGCTATATACCTAGTTCTTAATTAACTTTTTAAATTGACAAGTAAAAATTGTGTATGTGTATGTATACACGGAATAACTAAATCAAACTAAATAACATGCATTATTTCACATATTTATAATTTACTTGTGGTGAGAACACTTAAAATTTACTTTCAGCAATTTTCAGGCAGACAATAAACACAGACAATTAAACAGATCACTATATTGTATACTTCTGAACTTAAATGCACTTAAAAAAAACTTTATTTACTAATTTATTTTTATGTGGTGTTGAGGATCGAACCCAGTGCATCACACATGTTAGGCAAGCGCTCTACCACTGAGCTACAACCCCAGCCCTGCACTGAGTTTTTAAATAGAGAAAAATCAAGTTTAGGCAATTATTTTCTTGGTTTAAATACCAAGAAAATCAAACTTTAAATTATTTGGCTTGATTGGGGACTGTCAATCAAACTTTGACAGGGGAACTGTCAGGCAAACTCACTTTCTCCTTTCCATAACAAAAAGGACAGAAGAAATACAGTCATAAAATGGCTAATGAATAAGACTACTGCATACCAAGTATATGCAGATAAATTTTGCATACACTGTTAAAAATCTTATTGGGAAACCGTGGAGGGCTATTTTATTAAAAAGCAGAAAGTTAATAAATTGAATAATATAAGCTCTACAAATAAGAGATTCTATGTTCAATGTTGTATCTAAACCTTAAAGATATTTTTGTTTATAGCTGGGTGTGGTGGCGCACGCCTGTAATCTCAGCAGCTCTGGAAGCTGAGACAACAGGATTGCCAGTTCAAAGCAAGGCTCAGCAAAAGTGAAGCACTAAGCAACAAAATAGGGCTAGGGATGTGGCTCAGTGGTCGAGTGCCTTTGAGTTCAATCCGCAGTACCCAAAAAATTAAAATTAAAATTAAATATTTTTGTTTAATTGAAAATGCCAAAAATCCCCAAATGATGCCATTTCATCTAATTTCTCCAAGTTATACTGAAAAATATACTACCTCAAATCACATATAACATTGAACATAATTTCATTGGTTTTCATCTAAATCTGTACTAAAGAAAGCTTCTTAATGACTTTACTGTGATACAAGTAAACACAATTTTTGTGTGGGCATGCATGGTTTTACAAATCTACATGGTTTAGCTTCTATCATGAAATATGCAACTGTTACTTCTATTTCATCCTGTTTTTTCCAAGACCCTTGTTGCAACCTAATCCTTTCAAATCATCTGTTATTCAACTGGTTTGTGCTTAACAAAGGCAAACTAATGATAACATTAACACAATGAGACTAGAATGATAACTATCCTATTACTAACTCATAAAATACTATATATTTATAGTTTTGACTTCCTAGACTATTATTTCACTTCCTTGACTATCTCTAGATTCCCCTCTATGTTATCTTCTAGATGATTCTGCCACTTGCTTTCACTGGCATTGGAAAATTGAAACTTGATTATAATTATGTAATTATGGAAGAGTAAGTCCACTTACCTATAGCTGGGATCACCATGATGAATGGGATATGTATCCATGGGAACATTTTCCATTGAAATGTCAGTAAGAAGAAGGGACTTTCTATGTTTGAGGCTACAGCGACTTCGAACCTCTTCAGACACTGTGAGTAAAGCTAAAATAAAAGAGAAAGCAGATTAAAAAATTTAACAAGTCACTAGTGTCACCTAAAACAGGATACATTTCTAAAGAGGGTAACACCTGTTAAAGGTGCATTTAAAAAGCCCTAGAGTATGTAAGGTTCAGGGATATAAACCCTAATGACAGACCTGTTCATCTGTTTTGGAAGGCTACATAAACATGAAATATACAAAGAGATTTAATAAGCACCTTTTTTTTTTCAAGGGCTTAAATGTACATTTGATCTCAACAAATAAAAAGTAGTCAGAGCAGGTATTATTAAGTTCACTGAGGAGAACACTCAAGAGATGTTAAATGATTGGCTATGAAATAAAAAAGTTGCAACAAATGGAACCTGCTAAACTGGGAATCAGCACTTGCCACTGAACAACTACATTCAAGAACTGTGAGAGTGCTAAATGTTGCTGAGCAAAGAAACAAAAATTAGAAAAGAGCAAATAGGGAAGGTTTAATGGATTAGTATGGATGGGGCAGACATTTCAGATAAAATGGCATGAGGAATAACTTTTGAAGAGGCAGAAAGTCACTACTAAGAGATGGGAAGTAGTCCACCCATTTGGAGAAATATAAAAAATTAGGCTTATGAAATTTAGATAAAGAAGGTAGAATCAGAGTTGCTTGAGGGCCTAGGATGCTAGCCTGAGGCATTCAGATTTTATGACAACCACAGGGAGCCACTGTTGTGTTCTGAACCAAAGATGACAAAAGGAACACATTCCAGATTTTATTAGGAAAAACATTTTGGCAAAACTTTCAAAGTTTTAACCACATCAAAGGACTGGCCTATGAACCTATGAATTATTTACTCTGCCAATTAGCCAGCTGAAGGACCCATATAGGTAGGTATTTGTACTTTTTGGTTTTCCTAAGATAAAGTTGTAGCAATATTAATTTTGTCTTGTTTTTTGTTTTTACCTGCCAAGTAAGCCACACTCTGCGTATTCACCTCAAATTTGTCACAATTTCTATGTTTATTAACCAGAGTTAGTAGTGTATGCAAAATTCTGACTGTTCTTGCAACAACGGCAGGTGAAGGATGCCTGTACCCTATAAAAAAATAAAAACAAATAAGATGTTAATTTATCCTGTTAATATTTTCCACAGGAATTTTATAAGGAAGTAAAATCAAATGTATATGTTTACAGTGGTAGGTACCCATCAGGTAAAAATTAGGGAACTTCTATGATCCCTCATGCCTAAGAATTATTTAAATTGATACAAAACTGGAGACTAAAGTTCTAGCTTGACACTCACTCAAAACACTATGCTATTCCTAATAACCACAGTCTCTGATCATGACTGCATCATATTATATTCACTGCTATCAAGTTGTGAAGTCAGCAATGAAGAATAAAGCCAGGTCAGAAAGTGAAGGATGAGGAACAGCTGACGAGCACTGGCTATAAGTAATACAGGAATCTGGAGGGGTGGGGATAGGATCCAAGAGATGAGGCTCTGTGGTATAATGGTACTGATCTATAATACACTGGAAACAAGCTGAAGAAAATCTGTAATCAAATCTGTACAACAAGATTTTCTAATATAAATTAACCAAATAACACTGATCTGCAATGTCTTGTTTTGCTAATCAACAGAATACTTAAGTACTATTACTAATAACATAGTTATTAAAAGGCTCAGTATGTAGAATTTCTTTTTTGTTTAAAGGGGCTGGTGTTTGTTATACACCTAGCCCTAGTACTTAGGAATTTTACAAAAAATCAACTCTTTTGCATTTTTTTTAAGAACAAAGTAACAATTTATTTTTGAAACAAAGAAAGTGGAGCTCCTAAAGAAAGGAATCCTAAGTGGGTTGCCATCTTCTGCTTTTTAAGTAAATCTGATACTTGATATGGAAATTAGGCTCTATTAAAATACATACTGAACAAAATATAACTCAATAAGACAAAATTTGGATTGAAAGTAAACATATGGGTTAAATTATTTCAAGTAACCAATTATTTTAATTACTTCCAGCTTCTAGGTAGCGCTTCTTACTAACATTCTGACATAAGGCCTCTCTCTACCTTTCAAGAGGTGTCCCACCAGTGCAAAGTTAAAGTTAGAATTGAAATTAAGTCCAACAAAATGATCCATTTGCTTGCAGTGCCATTCCAGAGGATTCCGGATTGCCATAAATACCTCTTCCGGACTCTATTGAAAATAATCATGAGAGAATTAATGAAGTTCACACAGAAGCTTTCTTCACTTCTTAATTTTTTTTTTTTTTTTTTTAGGATTAAACCCAGAGTTATGTTACCACTGAGCTAAATTCCCCATTTTTTTTTTTTTTTTTTGCCATGCAGGGGATCTAACCCAGGAACTCACCTATGCTAGGCAAGCACTTGGTCACTGAGTTACAGGTCTAGTTCAGAAGCTTTCTTTAAAAGGTCACTTATTTAGAGTTTCATGGCACACACCTGTTATCCCCAGCTACTTGGGATTGCTAGTTTGGGACAGCCTCAGTAACTTGGTTAAACTGTCTCCAAAAAATAAAGTCTGGGATGTACATCATCCCTGGGTTTAATTCCTAGTGCCTCCCCTAAAAATATACACCAATGATTGATTTTTGTGTTCAATAGTTATGACAAGTAATCCTTTAAGTTGAGAGAAATTATTTTCAGCTACAGAAAACCACAGAAGAATATTAAAGATCTTAAAAATTAATTAGTACAAGATGCAAGATAGTCAAGCACTTAAATAATAAGACAGTAGAACAATGAAATAGCATTTATTTATTTTTATTTCAGTGTAAGTTTATTTTGGGTATGTAGTTTGTTCCTCCACCTACTCCCTCAAGCTGGGGCTTTGCATGTTGTCTAGGCTTACATTAAACTCCTGAACTAGGAACTGGGTTTAAAGCTCAGTTCATAGCACTTGCCTAGTACTGGGTTTGATTCTCGGCATCACATTAAAAAAAAAAAAAATAAATGTATTGTGTTCATCTACAACTAAAAAACAAAAACAAACAAAAAACCCAAATTCCTGCACTCAAGTGATCCTCCTGCCTCAATCTCCCAAGTAGCTGGGCCTGGAAGCGTGCATCTATGAACCCAGATATCATCCTGGTGACTTTTAACAAGCTTTATTAACTGATTTCTAGTATTTTAGGGCCCTAGAATGGTTTGGATTTAAAGTAAACCATATGGGTTAAATTATGGGGCATAGTTCCTTCTACTGGGCTCTTTCTGGCTTTGAAAACGCCTTTTTTGAGGGGTTCTGGATATTTAACCCAGAGGTGCTTCACCAATGAGCTACATTCCCAGCCACCCACCCTGTTTTTTAAAATTTTGAGCAGGGTCTCACTAAGTTGCTGAGGCTGGCTTTTAACTCGTGATCCCCCTGTCTTAGCCCTCCAAAACACTGGGATTACCAAGGTGAACATTTCTAAGATACAAACACTTCATTTACAAATATTCTTTCTTTTTTTTTTCCTGTGGTGGTGTAAGGAGTAAACCCAAGGACCCTTAATTACTGAGCTATAATCCAGCCCTTTTTACTTTTTATTTTGAGATAAGGTCTCACTAAGTTTATAAGCCTGGCCTCAAACTTGTGATCTTCCTGCTTAAGTTTTCTGAGTAGTTGGGTTTATAGCCATGTGCCACTATGCCCAGCTACAAATATTCCTAACATACAAATAGCCTATAAGTAGATGTCACTTTGACCACTATTGTCCCAAGACAACTCCAGAAAAGAACAAAAAGTTAAGAAAGAAGGGTTCTAGTTCCGAGCTAGATATATGAATCAGGACAAATTACTTAACCATTGTTCCTTTGTATTGGTAAAATACTTTCAAACTCTAAGATTAATTTCATTTCCAGTTGGGTGTGGTGGCATATGTCTATAATCTTAGCTATTTGAAAGGCTGAGACAGGAGGCTTTCAAGTTTGAGGCCCTGTCTCAAAAAAATAAAAAGGGGTAAGGATGTAGCTAAGTGGTAGATCATCCCTATGTTGACTCCCTATAACTGGGGGAAAATTATTTCCACAATTCCTAGCTTTTCTGGGTCTGTACAAAATTAGGCAGACTGAACAAATAATGGTTTTATACCGCATTAGGAAGACTGAACAAATACTGTTTTTTTTTTTTTTGGGGGGGGGTTCCTTTAGATTTTCCAACTTCCTTATTAGGTTTTAATAATACTGATCTTCCTGCTTAAGTTTTTTGAGTAGTTGGGATTACAGCCAACTACTATTATACTTTTCATTAAGTAGCATTAGTCAATAAAAACAAGCACTTTTTTAGATTATTTCTTTATTTGTGAAATACGAATGGAGAATGCTAACCTCTACCTTGGAGTTATCAAAATGAAAAATAATGAATGTACAGTGCTTAGCATAAGGCCTGGCACAGTTGCTATTATTACCACTCAGTATTATTTATCTTAAATCTATTTGTTAGCATCAGCAAGCACCATTTTTTGCTATCTGTATACAGAAAATATGTACTAAAGTTTAAATAGGTTTTTTTATGAGCTGGTAAGAAACTTTACTCACACTAAACTAAATTAAAAATATCCATATTTAAATTATAGACTTCTTTTGATTTTTAAAAGAATCACACAGCAATAAAAAGAAAAAGAAGTACTAAATGCATGTAATCTAGGAATTCCAAAGGAAAGTTTGCTTACCTTGTCATTGAATATCCGGAGACTATCTAAGGTATGTAGATTTTGTTCAAGAAGTGCAGTGCCTGCTGAATATAAGTTGACCTCATCCAGCTGGAGCACTGCCACAGCTACCCAAAAGAGGGCTTTGTGCAAAGGGGAGTCCTGGCAAAGGAAGACAAATTTCCAGGTTAGTAAGCTGAACATAAAATTCATGCCTCCTCAGCATAAAACAAAGTATGCTATCTTGCAAAATTACCCATGCTTTCTTTTGGGGGAGGAGATAAATATAGATAAGTTCTTTGTCTTTTTCATGCGTATAACTAAAGACATGGTTATCTGGACTGAGATCATAGCATCTTCTTTGATTTCTCTCTGTTCTGGATTCCCAAATCCAGTTTTCTAGTGCAGTCTCTCAAATTTGTCATTTCTTTTGTATTGCTGCTGCTGATGCAATCCTCAGGCCACCCTTTATTCAACATGTGGATTTTTTCTGCCTTCAGTTTTTCCCTATTCCAACCTACTGGGTACTGTATCACCAGAATGATCTAAGTCCTGCTCTTGTCATATTTTTTGTCTGCTAAAAAATGGTATATATTAAAACTCCTTTCTGAAGAATGTTGAATGTTGTATTAATTTTATCTAATCTTCACAATTTTCTTGCAAAATTTCTCCATAACAACTTGAATGGTCTATCCACCATCTCACCATGTCCTAGCATTCTTGTACAGTCCCTACTCTATATTTTGCTGCTCAAGGCTTGCTTCTCTTTCTCTCTACCTATACTAAATCTTATCTATCTCTAATTTTGAACTCTTGTCACTCTTACTAGAATATTAATCTCTTGCTGCTCTGAGTTAAAAATACATATTATTGGTAATTCTTATTTAGCACTGTGTTTTATGGGGAACTACATGGACTTAAAATCAGACAGCTTTGGATTAGAATCATGGTTCCAGTCTTAGGCCTTCTGAGTCTCATTTTTACTTACATGAATGAGGATAAGAAAATCATTTTGTATCATTTAAGATTAAGATATCTGTAGGAGTGGGGTTATGGCTCAGTGTTAGAGTGCTTGCCTAGCATGTGTGAAGCACTGGGTTCAATCCTTAGCACCACATATAAATAAATAAATAATGAAGGCCCATCAACAACTTAAAAAAACAAACAAACAAAAAAGACATCTGTAAAACATCTAGCTCTACCAGGGATACAATAGGTATTTATTTTTCTGTAATCACTTCCTAGACTGGCATGCCTTGGAATTCAATTCAAAGAATTATATGACTGTAGAGTTAAAAGGTAATAACATGCCATTATCTAGTCTAGTTTACTCATTTTATCTATATGGAAACAAAATGCCCAGATATGTAAATCACCTGCCAGAGATCACAAAGCTGAGATGAGCTCAGACAATCCTAAATTAGTAACTGTATCATTTTATTCCTTTTAAATTTTACCTTCATAAAACACCCAAACTCTCTTTTTTAAGTCACAGTGGTGAGGACCTTATAAATACGAGGTAAGGGCTCAGTTATTGAGCTCTACTCCCAGTCTAGTACCAAACTCTTTTGATGATCAGATATACTTCTCTTGGCTTTATATTTTCTACTTACTAACACTAAGTATTTTACTTACTTTGTTTATTATCTATCCACTCCATGACCCTCTAAACTCACCCTAGAATACAAGCTCCATGAGGGCAGGCAATTTTTATTGGCTTGATTGGCATTACATATATCTATGACAGAACCTGGCACACAGTAGATATGCAATAATTATTAGATGAAAGAATTAAGAATAGGTCCTTTAGGATTGATGAGATATAAAATTACAAGTACTTGAGAATGCATTTTCCATATTTATTTTTCCTTTAATGTAACAACTTCAAACAACTAAACTTTGTGACAAGATGTTCCACCTTAACTATGACCTTCTTTATGACCTTCCCTTAATCCATCTTAATTTCTGAACTCCTTACAAGAACAAGTAATACTGCCACCCAAAATGAAAAAACTTAATGTGCTATACAATAATTACCTTATTAAGAAGTGGCTGTAATTTGGTTAGTGCTATTACTGTAGCTTCTATCAGAACTTGACTGTTGTAAGTATCAGGTCCTTTTAAGCAACTC